ATCGATCCTGAATGTAATATCATTGTATTTATAAACGAAATAAATACAATGGTAATATATTGATTTAGTTATTTGAAATTTAAATGGTCGTCTTACTTACCAGCACTATTACATGACTGGGCATAAGTTCATAGATTGGAAATTTTAACACTATGACCAAAGACGATTTAATCATTAGAAAATTTAACGAACTTTTCCCAATTAATTTACACAAAAAAATGGGAAAGTTCAATTTATATATAAAATTCTTAATTCTTAAACCGGTTGGTTTACGGTCTCTTTAAATGTTGGCAGTTATAAAATGATTTAATTTATAATACCTTTAGTGCATATTTTTATTTCACTACGCTGTAGGTATCTTAGGCACGATGTCGACTTTATCCTAGGGTCGGGCATTCGGGATGACCGTAGCTCTTTTTAGAAGGTATTCTTCTTCAGCCAGCGTTCCTTGTAGTCCATAGATATTAACCACCATCCTCGCCCGATTAAAAAAGATCGGAATTAATATTGTTGAATATTTATAAAAAATTTTCGCGATGGGTAAGAAAACGTACCACAAGTCCTTTTACTTAAAATTGAAATACCGATGCAATGGACACCCTAATTTTTCTTTGTTCCATCATCACTATTACAACCACGAGCTTATATTGTTTTTCCCGTCGAAACTCGGCGTTAGTACCTAAATTTTGCATTCTACGGTCACTAATTTCGCGAACAAAATCACTTTCATTAGGGCGATTATGCGATTGTTCTTCGGCTATTCTGTATTCAGCTATTTATATAAAATTTAAAGCGGAATCAACGAAACTGCTGAGTCTTGCGTGCCTTTTGAACCAATAGCAAACCCGCATTTCTGGTTTCTATATAAAATTCGAAAAAGGAAACTAAAACGTATTTGTACGTACGTACGTACGTTCATTGTTAGTACTCAATCAGTCGTATTTCTTTCCTCTTGGAGACGACACCTATTAATTTGCAGACCGGTAGGCATGCGCAGAAGGCACTATCTTATTTGGAAAGGAAACTGCTAGGTCTCAACAGATGCTAAAATGCGGAAAAGTACTCATTTATATATTTGTAATTACTTTAAAATACATTAGGAACAATGAGACGTAGGTCACAAAACAGTTTCTTAATGTGGCTTTTAGCACTGACTAAAATAGTCAATGCTTTTAGACAACGGACACTAACGATGAATCGGAATATTAGTATTTTTAGGCACCTAAATAATAATTCGAGGCGTTATGATTGATATTGAATATACGTAAATTAAATATCCACAAAAATTAATAGTGATGGGCTTAATAAAAATTTAAATAATATTTACATAATTGAAATGCATTATTTTATTGATTTGGCAAAAAAAAAATGGAAAATGTATCAGTACATAAATTAAAACCCATAAAATCAAGTTAAGTTAGTGCAAAGAAAGCGCAACTTTTAAATTGTCATACTATTTATATCGTCAATTTCTCAAGTTTTATTACTTTATTACCATTGAAAGTCGTTGCATTTAGTCTCGTATAGAATATACGATTTTACACATTAATTTTGTTATTGTGTTGTGACATCAATCACCATTACAATGAATAGAGTGATCATAAAATCAGTTTATAGGTAAGTAAATGGAGGTGGGCTAGAAATTTAAGTGCTTTGGAAACATTTGTCGGAAAATGCCCAACAAAGGCGGTGAGAACATCTTAAGAAGATTAACTCGTTTGTCCAAACGTCTCTGGTCTCTCCTAATGTTAATGCGTGCAGTAATAACGTCTTTGATTTTGTAAATAATCAATGAATCGGGAGAGTATAATAACATCCAATTTCTGTTCAATCACTGCAAATGATGTTTTTCTTTTTTCAAATAGAGAAAGGAGCAACCTCCTCCCCATCGGACTCGTGCTGGGTTATGCCTTTTCTGAACTAGGCGACCTAGTAACTTAGAACATGGTTTCCTTTTGAGGATATGTTTTCTTCTTTGCAATAGACTGATATCGTTAATCCATTCCGATACTTTCATCCACTACTCTGTATCGGTACTGTAATGATTTTATTTAAAAAAAACAGTAAAACCATTGATTATATATATTCGTAGTATATAATCAATGGTAAAACTCAAATTCGTGGACAGCAAGTGAAAATCATACTTTGTAGTCAAAGTAATTCGTCAATAATCGTAGTCATATTAAAAAAAATAATCGAAATCGAAGTATTCACCGGTAATTAATTATATGGAACAGCTAAAAGAATTTACTACAAACTTATGATCATTGATGCTGCAAATGAAACGATCATTGAGTTGGTGCCAATGAAATCCACATAAATTTATGAAAAAGAGTTTGCTAAGTTTCTGAAGCGGTGCAGTGAAAAAGAAAATTTTACTGAAACAATGCTCCCGGTATACTTTTTTTTTATAAAATCAAAGATGAACAAGCCATCTACACTCTGGGCTAAATACTCCACCTTGAAAACAATGCTAATAGTCTAGGGGCCACCTGGCTAAATTTAAGGAAATGGTATAATTTGGGGGTACCAATTTTCCTTTTTACCACGGTTAGACACATACATTAGGATGTAAAAAAAACGATAATTGTCATCTCAAAGTGGTAGCTAATAGAAATGGCGGCCAATCCAAGATGGCGGATGTTGAGTTTTATAAAATTAACTATACCTATCTTTCGAATTATTGGGCCAACTTCATCATTTTCTTAAATGAAAGCTTTTGTGTGTGCTACAATATTGTCATAACTACATTTCCGATAAAATCAACAATTAGTAACTAATGCATGAAGTAAACGAACGGAATTTTTTTTACCTCTTAACATTTAATGAAAACTAAATTAACCCCTCGTTACTTTCAAAAGTTTCATATACACTAAAATCTGCTCCTTCTTCCTTTTCTTCAGTGACGTATCCACAAGTTGGCAGTTTGCATACGCTTGTACACTTTAAGTTATTAGCATTACGTAATGGTAGTTGTCAAGAGCCAGCTTGGTAATTCTACGTGAGGTGATATGGAAGCCAAACTTAGGGTATAATTTTATCTTTTTGCTGCTTCCGGAATAGCATCTCTTTGATTTTGACGTACAATTTTCCAATGTATTTTTTGTTTTATATAATCTACTTTTGTCAAATTATCGGCACAGTATACACCTTTCCATCAATATTAACAAACTCTTTGCTGATGTTATGGCTAAAAGCCGTATTTGATCGTATTTATTGCAAGACAGTCAGTCTTGTCAGTTGTAAAGTTCTTGTTTACCGTTAAGCGGAAACGTGTGTCACGTTTTACGAGGAAGTTAGTGGAAGTGCTGTGTTTATCGAACAGGCGTCGCTTATCTGAAGCCTTTCTTTAAGGTTTTCCCAGTACTCGTTAAAGGGAGTTTTTTCACCATTAAAGAGCCAATTTTACACCTGTAATTACAACGAACCCAGTGTCGTCCAAATTGAGATACAAGTTCAATTAAAGTAGAGAAGTGCAGGTTTAGAAACATAATCCGCACATACCAATTTCATCATTTGTTATTTGATCATGGCTCTTCAGCTACAATATATCTATAGACGTAACTTCAATGATTTTTGTATTTAGTAATTATTTTTATTTTAATTCAATTGTTTGATCAGCTAAAGCTGTGAATAATCGTTTACTTTTGGTTGTTTTATGAGATTTTGTGTATCTTCGGTTTGCAATATTTATTAAACCGAATTTATTTTTGCGGATCTTGCATATTTTGATATCCTTTGCATTTACATGATAGAATTGCATATTTTATTTTTGTTAGATTTAATCGATTTTAATTTCAATTTTTAATACATTCTTTCGGATTTTTATAACGGACGCGATAATGAAACATACTGCAAAAGCCGAAAGGAAGATTTATTGATGTTTAATTTCATCATTTCCAAACTATTTTATCTTTCTCTTTCTCTACGGTGATGATGGGTGATATTGTGGAAGGTTTGGAAATTGCTCCCAATAGTTTGTCCATTTCTAATGCACCTATTACTTTAGTTGATGTAGAGTATAGTTTCTCTGCTTAGTGCTTATAAATTAATTCTTAGCGACAGGAGACAATCATTTCGTGCAGAAAACTTAGAGAAACATCTTATTGCTAGTGTTTATCGTAATTCCTTTTTTATTAGAAATTATGCAACATATATAATTTTGTATACGTGTGCATATATATCAAAACTGTTTGCATATTTTTCACTAATATTCTGCATAATATGCGCATAATTTTACCATTCATTGTGTATTAATATAGGCAGTAAAGAACATTCGGGAAACAATTAAAAAAAACATTTTTTTAAATTACTTATTAACAGTTGATTTTATCGAAAAAGTACTAATAACAATATTTATAGCACATATAAAGAGCTTTCATTAAAAAAAAAGATTAATGAAATTGGATCAATAATTCCAGAGATATAGTTTACTTTATAAAACTCTACATCCGCCATCTTTGATTGGCCGCCATTTCTATTAGCTACCGCTTTGAGATGGCAATCATGATTTTTTGGCATCCTAATAAACCTGTATAACCACTGTAAAAAGAAAAATTGGTACCCCCAAATTATACCGTCATGTCGACTGGCCCAAAACCCCGTAGTTTTAACAACTAAAAATACACAGGGTGTTCCATTAAAAATTGACACTGTAAAAATGAGACACTGTACATTCAAAAATAATTTCAGTAGATGCGCAACTATCTATGGTTCACATTTGCACAAAAGGTTTTTTGATATTCTTTACCAGCTATGAGCTAGGAAACCTCGACGCACTGATGCAGGACCGGTAGGTATATTACTCTTAAATTACTGCAACAACAAGGATATGCAATAAATAAAATAAAAACCAAATGCATACAACATAACGAGATTTGTGTTTGATCTAGTCATATCATATAATCTGCATCACGAAGATGCAAAACCCATATAAGACTAGCCGGAGCGATTAACGATTCATGACGATTTCATATTTGGCCTTAATTATACTAAATTACCTGTTCTGTATCCAGCATTCGATAAATAAGTAGCAAACGATCTGGTCTCGTGAGTCGCCTGCCAAAGAGTACTTGAACAATTGTCATTGTTTGTGAACACATTATGATTATGCACATACATTCCTGTCAGAAGCGAGGATCGTGACGGGCAGCACATAGGAGTCGTTACGTATGCGTGACGAAACTCGGCACCTTTATCGCGTATCGCACGTAAAGTTTTTGGCATAAAATTTAACGAACCTAATTCGACATCTTGATCGTCAGTTAAAATTAGCACTATGTTCGGTTTCCGTTCCCTCGATGAGGTTATGGGCGATAAAACCGGCTTCCTATTTCTCCCCCGATGTAAGAATACATCTCCATTAACTCGATTGGAGTTCCATATCACCGAAAAACACAACGCAAGAAATGGCACTAGTAATGCTTTTATTATTGCACTCATATTTGTTCCGTTCACAACCAATTTTCGAAATGACTTCGTGTTTTCTTACACCATTTTCAGTCGGATCGAGGGCGCCGCATTTTCTGCAACAATAAATATTTGAGTTACTAACGATCAATAAAATATTTGAAAACAAATTCGCTTCTGTGATCAGAATTTTCGCTTATCTGACCTAGATTTGAAAAGGTCGAATTAACAGAGCACACCGATGTACCCCCGAAATTTCGTTTTATTGCTTCTATTTGTAATTTAATCACGCGATCCGATTCTATCATATACAAAGGTTCCTACGAGTTTCTAAAAACTTTACTAATGATTCGTAATACTGTTTTGGTTTTATTATATTTTTGAGATGAGCCAGCCTACTCCACTCCATCATTAACGAATACTTGGACAGTAACAAAAGACCCCAGCTCCCCAATTAATTATTTTCAGGGGGGAAAATCTCTCTAAAATCTATTTCGTTAGTTTCAGCATGGACTAATAAATTACACTATAGTCTATGGTTTCAATTACCACCAGTTACGAAATAAACAATTTCTCGCTGTTTGGGTTTCTTGCGTAGACTTATGAAATCATCGTATCACTGTAACGGGAGCCTTTGATTGGCGTTTTTTTAGTTTTTGGGTACTGTGTATTAGAAGAGATAAAGAGTGATTCTATTAGAGCATGGTTTATTCCAAAATGTTATATTCAAAGTTCAATAGTTTTCAAATTTGTTTGACGATCTATAATTTTATGAGTCACAGGCTTCCAGATACATAGTAATCGGTTAATCACCTGGGAAAGTTATCAGCGCCAGTCTGACGGGCGGGAACACGATCTTAATGTGTTTTACATGACCAACACATCACTTTATATTATCACATAGTTTCGTGAGAAGCGCTAGGTTGCAGTTTTGAAAACGTGGGTTTGATTAATGGTCCTAACGCACGCGTAGTATGGAGGTGCGCCATCTTGTGGCAGTCACAAATGATTTCTACTCGTAACCGCAACCGATTTGATTATTGTTTGAATATTGGTTGAATAGAGAATCAAAAAACCTTTCAAATGGGAATCACAAGCCCCTACTTCCTATTTAAAAATGGATCGATTGCCACCCTCACTCTAAGGGTGTTAAATTTAGGGTTGCAGTTTTTACACATTATGATGTAATTTTAAGATATAAAATCGACAAATCTCAGGATTTTCTCTGCACTCACCTAGTTAAGAAATACTGAATTTATTCCTATCATTGTCACCATACTGTAAAAGTGTAAATGTATAGAAATAGTACTTTATTATGAATTAGGTAATGAAAAAGTGCGATTACCTCAAAAATAATGTTTATTATAACAAATATCTGAGTTTTGTATACTGTTCATCGGTTAAAAATTCTAGAAAAAGAGTGTAATCAAATTTTTAGAAAATAAAATTGATAAAAATTTCTTTGAAATTAACAAACAACCAATTATCGAATATTATTTGTGGGGTAATCGCACTTTTTCATTACACTTTGTCAACATAAAATAACCTTTCCAAGGATGAGTTTCAAGGTCTATGTCCTGTAGTTTTCTAAACGATATCTCAAACCGTTGTGACAAAAGGGTTTGGTTCCATTTTTATTAGCCGCTCTGTATGTCATTGATAAACGTTTCCTTATTTATTATGTTCTGCTGGTAAACATTTATATTTTCAAAATCGTTGAATCTGACACAAAACTATGTAATCTACTTATTACCTCTTCCTAGAACAAGTGTAACGGAAGCACCTGTTTTCCGCCTTGAAATTACCAGTGATCACTCTGTAGATAAACACCCGGTATCAAGAAGGGCTTTAAGTTGGGCGCTGCGTTACGAAGATTGTCGCTCCCAAAATATTTATGTCTGTGTGCCCGTAGGAATATTTAAATTGTTTGCACAGCTGCCGAAAGCTCTCTTGCCATGGAAGATGAGAGAGAATCAATGTTATGGTTTAGGTCAGATTACGCCGCTTGACTTCGGCCATTCCAAGGAACAAAAGGGCATTGCTGGACTGCCAAATTTGGAGGTTTCATTCCGACTACTTGGATAAGTATAATAATAATAAGTGTCCAAGTAAGTCGAGATTACATTCGTTAGGTGCGCTCTTAAACAAATTGAATTTTGACACCGGTCCCGTATTTTTAAGACGTCTGAGAAGGACGTAATTAATTAATAAAGTTGTAATGTTGGATGCAGATAACCGAATATGCTGTGTCGGTTGGAAAAACCGCCCCCCCCCCCGCCGTTTATTGCAAGGTAAACTTTCTGCTACTTGCGACTCTTATTCCTGGTTAAATTTCAATTTGGTATTCTTACGCCCGATTTGTAATCAACTAGTTTAGATGTAAGTTGTTGCTGTTAGTACAGGAAAATTGTCCAAAATAGACAAGAAAATTGCGAAGTAGTTGAAACTTGGTATAGACGTTTGAAAATACATATATTTCAAGGAACCGAAGAGTCCCTAACCACAAGAGGTGTGCTGGAGTGGCCATGCTCAAAGAACGTAGGGTCAACTGGATTTTCACTTTTTTAACAGGAAGTGGCAGTTAAATCCTATTAAAAAAATACTTTGTGACATTTGTAGCGCATTTGTTAAGAATTAACAAAAAATGTGCTATTGTTTGCGTTTTGTCCGTCCGTCCGTCCGTCCGGACCCACTTTTGCCGTTTTGATTTAAATTACGTTTAGGGAAATGGTACTAGAGTCCTGGAATAGGTGGCCTATTTCTTGAAGGTGTGCCAGGCGGCTATCATATTTCGCTGTATAAGTCCCCCCCCCCCCTATTCATTATTTTTGAGATGCTGTTTTTGATAGTAAACGTGCATAACTTTTACATACGAAAACCAATTGGTTTGAGATTTTGTATACGCACGCCTTTAGTGGTGCGAAGTAAAACCTTTGTAAACGGAGGGGGGGGGGGAGGTACACACGTTCTACCTTTCATGTATTCTAATGAAAGGTCTCATCGAAATAAATTGTGTGTACAAAACTATTACTTTTCCCGCGCGACTCTTTTTCGAGATCAGTGGGTGACGGGGTCGTAAAGATGTTTGAAAATTGCTCCATGTATGCAACCGTACTGTTGCACGAAAATAAGTTATAGTACAGTGTGAGCAACCAATGATTGAAGCGTGCGTCATCCACCGCTTGTTCCTATATAATATCAAAACTACCTTCTTTGTGGAGTTGTATACGAAAATGACGTTCTGGCTGTCACAGTGACGTGCGTCTATTCGTATTTCGTAATCTTGTATCAAATCAGCATATTGCTATGAGCGGCACATTGCCAATTTAGCTGAAGCGGCACGCTTCAATCTTTGTTGCTCACTCTGTATAACGGGCGATCAAAAATGAGTTGCTGTCGAGTCGCCTTTGGAAGTTCAAGTTAAGTGCGATTTCCCTTGCAAACAAAAATTCCAAAGGTGACTCGACAGCAAGTCATTTTTGATCGCATTGTACTTGTACGGATTGTGGTCCTCGCGTCAAGACTTCAAGAGTGTTGTAATAGGCTACAATATGAGCCGTTGATTTTCTTCCATCCCCACTGTTCGGTATTTTTGGTACTACGAAGCCATATCTGAATTTGGTAGAATACTCGTGAGTAATGCTGAGGGCGGCCACTCAAGTTAGTGGTAATAATTCGGCCCTGATTTTTGCTTTTGCAGCAATTTTTTAAATTGGTAAAACCTATATGAATTAACGGAAGATTTCAAATTTTCTTCTCACCGTATACCATCAGAAAAATGCGTTCACCAGCTTCTCTTACTTATAATAGGGTTGTAATTTTGGTCATTGAAGGTTCTCACTATAGCCTTGCTATAGCTAATTGCATTTTTTTGCAAGAGTTTGAAAAATGGTAATTTTTGCTTCTGAAACATACAATATGTCGCCTTTGTTTGACTATATTTTTTGGTGTTAAAGGCAAGAGAACAAGAGGATCAAAATCCTCACCGACTACACGCATGTTCCTCTATTGTTAAACATTTCTATTGCGTCAAACAAACCGATACAACAAAATATCGAAGGATACTCAGGATTACCATCACTTTTTTAACGACAATTCATTTTTATCTTGGAAGATACATATAGTCAACAAAAATGCATCAATTCATGTCTTGGGCATTGAGATAATGCTGTTAGTGTTTTTCCAAACGATCTTGGTGCATAAATAACTATTTTGAAAACTTGGATGGAAATACATATGGCTGCCAAAAAAAGCATTAGATTCATGTCTTGGCCATTGTCCTTGGTCTTTTTCCAACGATCCCGGTGCAAGAATACCAACTTTGATATGTTTTGAGCAGAACACGTCATAAACAGCAGAATTTTTGTCTTCCTTATTTCGCTGGTGCCTTTACACTGAAAGTGGATACGGAGCAAGTTCATACTTGAAGAATTCCGCAAGATCATCATTCTATTGGTTCTGCGTATACGGCAAAAATCCGATCCGGGAAAACTTTACTGTGTGAACGAGCCGTTACGACAGGTGGGCGAGCGGCGCGACGGTTTTTAAACCTTGATTTTGGGCTGAGCACACTATATAACGCTAGGGACTCATCGAATTCTTAAACAGAATATATTTATGTATAAGTATTGTTGTGAGACCTAACCTTTACTTCTGGGAATCCCACGATTTACCTCTAGCTAGCTCAGTTGTAATTAAAAAAAAAACCAAATTTTTACACGCATCTCAAGGTCCAGCTGGATTCTGCCACCCTACAGCATTCCAACAATGACATGAATAGGAGGCTTAACCAAATCCTTAAATTCCAATATGAAACTTTACCCCCAGATTTAATCAACTTGAAACAAAGTAAGAGACGCCGACAATTACCTCTCTTTGACTCTAATAAACAAAACCTGGATTGCAATGACTGGTTTAATTTCAAACAAAAAATTGCGTAAATTTCTGTTTTACAAATTGTTACAATTTTAAACAAATAAATAACACACACAAAAAAAAAAACAAATTACTCAAACATTACAAAAAAAACAAGACAAAACAAACCACTAACTACTACTTACTTTTAAAATTAGTCCGAATAACGTATTCCGATAAAAAGAGGTATCCGTACACAATCACGTAAACCAACCACTC